ATTAGGTTCTGGTTTAGACACATACATCGAATGGATTTGAAAATCTGATCGCATTCGTCTGAGGGTTTAGAAAGACTTTTTTCGAACAAAAAGATAAAATACGAAACACCGCGCATATTATCACTGTTTTTGTCATCATTTTTTAACAGTATCACTTGCGCCATGATGCTCTTTTACGCTTAGAAAATGAGTGGGATGAGCAACATCATCAGCTCCCAGAATGATGGAATGCTTGGCGTATGTCGATCAGGGTTCTTGGAAGGCGTGAAAAACGATCCTTGCTAGAGTATAGTAATCTTATTCGAGCATTAATCTTTCCGCTTATTTACGATCTCAAATTCGATTTCCTTGCTTAAGTTCTTTTATTTTCCGAAACTTGAAGTAGGCAGACAATTCCTTTTTCGATTCATATCTAATGGAAATTATTAAAAAAGTCAAGTTAATATCTATCCTCTTTATTTTAAAACCGATTTCGCCATAAAGTTGTTAGCTATTTCTTCGGAAGCTTTCCTATCATGGGAATCCGGCAAACTTTACATGATGATCATGGTTAAATGTTTCTATTAAGCGGGATAAAATTTATTTCATCCATCGGCACTTGAAAATCCTTTGATGCATTTATGTGTAATTAAAATTTACACGTGCGAGATCACATGCCTACTTTTCAGTTTTTTTCCACTCTTTGGAAAATACACAAACAAGACACGATTGTGTAATAATTGTGTGGAGGGAAAATTAACGGATTGCAGAATGGATCTCTTGTGTCTAAACGTCTCTCTTCTTTCGTCTTTTTCCATTTAACCCCCAATTCACATAGATTAGATCAAAATGTACTAGCCACTCTCTTCATTACATAACAATATCATATGGGTGGGGTAATGATGAGGCCATGAGTATTTTTGTTAAAAGTTGTACAAGGGTTTTTGATTTTATAACTATCATTCAACATCATCATCATAGCCATCATATTTTTTTATCAATTACATATATAACCTAAATACACAATTTTTTTCACCAACACGCACACACCCACCATAAGTTAATCGATAATTATAGCAATCTAAGTTTAAAAATAAAAAACAGCTTTTGCTTGCCTTACAGGAAAGAGAAAGATATCACGGGTATCATTAGTAATAGTTATAATTTTTAATTTTTAGATTCTTGTATTCATTATTATCATAATAATAATTATTAAAATCATTTCTCGTTCTATTTACTTTTTATCGGCTTTTGGGCTTTGGTCTGTGTCGTGTATCCTAACACTTTTTTTTTTCTTCTTAATTCTTGTTACTGGTTTTGTCGGTTTGCCATTTATTAATTTCTCACGATTTTTTTCATATTGTTAAACACTCGCTGACTTGTTTCTTTCTTTTGATTTCCAAGCTTCCCAACACAAACATACACACCCACCCAATTCAAAGCTTCAGGCACCGAGCAGACAGGCAAACACAGTCACATTTGTGCAGCTTTTCTGTCTACAAGTCGAGGTCTCACTCCACGAATTGCGTGAGAGTGTGTGAGCATCAATTCTTTGAGTTACATTTGTTTGAGTCAAAGCAGAAAGAGGACAAAAGTGAGGAAAATAAAGACAAGCGCAAGGATAGAGAACACCACACCCAAGACGATCTAAAGGGAAGCTAGCAAGCGCACAAGAGTCGAGGGACAGAAAAGTACGCTGACACTTTCGAGAACTGACTACCTTTTCACAAAGAAAAATTCGCCAAACTGTCCAACCATAACCCTTTTTCGTCCTCCTCTTCGTTGTCGTCTCTACAAGGTTCCACCTCCGTTACAGAGACCACCGCCAATACAATGGGGCAGGCACAAGATCGGATGGTGGATGACGAACAATTGTACACAACCACTACCACTACCACCACAACTACCAGCGGATCCCCGGAACTTGGTCCTGTAGTGCCTAACATAGCAATGACTGCTTCGCTTCTTTCGGACCGTGGTTCATTATCTTCAACATTTTCATCAACGGCGCCGGTCCCACCATTATCATCGATGAAAAAGAAACAAATCAGCATGGTCAACGGTGGACCACATTCACACGAGAACGATGAAGATGTTGAAGAATTATCATCGTCATCATCGTCGTCAAAAGGTATTGCTCGAGAAAAATTACAAAAGCAGCAACAAAAAGAAAAAAAATTAACAATGATCACCACTTCAGCTGTGGATGGCAAAAATCCAAATAATCAAGGTCTCGGTAATCTGATGATGAAACCGAAGAACATTGCTGGTGGAAGTGAAAGTGGTAATGGAAATAGCAGTGGCAATACTAATAACAATTCAAAGCTTGCAGGATCGATTGTGCAAGCTGCTACCATTAAGATGAACAATAATAATAATAATAATAATAATAACCTTAATAATAATCCAAATATTAATAACATACCTAATAATAATAAGATGAACATCAAGGATCATCAGCAAAAAGGATTTTTCCAAGAATACCTGAAAAAATCCGAATTAACGCATAAGCAACCTCCTTCATCATCAAATTCAAATCCAAATCCTGTTACTGTGATTACGACACCGGCAATCTCTTCTTCCACATCATCAATCAGCACAGTAGATTCAGGTAGTGACCTCTCGTCTTCTATAAATAGCAACAACACGATTTCCACGACCCCAACAAATTCAGCAACGGCAAAGACAACTCTACTGCTGGATGACTCAAAACCGTACACGATACCACCATCAATAGCAGAGAACGTCATGCGCGAGATGCTAGCCAATAAACCTGATCCGGTTGTACTGGAGCAATTGCGTCCGGTCGCGCAAAAATCGTCGTCCTCCTCGTCGACGCTTATGGAGAAAGGCAATGGCGGAAGCATCGATTCTCTATTGGGGAGCAAAAGCAGTAAACTGCTGAAAGGCAGCACCTTGTTAACGATAAAAAAGAATCTCAATAATCATAATAACAGTAGCAACAACAATACCAATAATACCAATAACGGTGAGTCATCCGAAGAAATTGGAAAAAAAATGATCATTGTTAGTAATAATGGTGGTGGTAGTAATATTAATAATAATGAAAAGAGTAATTGGTTGAACACTTCTGATAATACTACTATTACTACTACTGCTACAACAGAATCCCATTTTCCTTCTAAATTCTCTTTTCCAAATATCGCCGACAAGAATTTCTTTGTTCCGAATTTTACTACCAATGCTACAAATTCGAATTCTTCTTCTACTATCAATACTCCCAACAATCTCAATCCCAATCCTTCCATCATCACAGTTAAAACTAATTCTATTGGTGCCTCGACTACTGGTACTACTTCTGCTAGTGTTGTTTCTTCTACGTCCTCATTCTCCTCATCATCATCATCTTCCTCACAAAAAGTTCCTTT